CCCCAAAACCCCAAAACCCCAAAACCCCAAAACCCCATTTAAGGAAAATTATTGAAGGCTATTTGAATAATGAATAATTTAAGACATTTGAAGAAGAGAAATACGCTACAAGATAGTCATTTGTTCAGGAGAATTTTGATCCCAGACCATGACCCTCAGAATTCAAGTATTGTTGGAGAAAAGCAAGAACCTCAAGGAAATAAGTCAGATCCTTCAATCTCAAATAGAGTCTTACAAGCAGCTATTTCCAAGTTTAGAAAACTCAGTGAAAGTGAAGGTGAAGACATCGAAGGTAATTTTTCAAAGTATTTGGTGATTTTCAAGAAAATGATTAAAAATGTAACTTTCCAGAGTTGCGAAATTCTTTAGTGTTCCAGATCAAGGTGAATTTTATAGTTATTGTTCCTTATAAATCTATAACTTACTCTAGCTCAAATAAATGATAAAGAGGAACAGATCTACGGAATGGTGAGGCTAGGGCAAAGCCTTGCCTTCAAAATTCTCAAGAGCTTCACCGAAACTCTTGTGATGCTTTTGCTTGGCGCTTACTTCTTGTTGATGTACTACCTTGACAAAGATGATAAGTTTAGATACGCACTTGTCCCTCAGATGGCTCTTCAGTTCGCTCTACTCCTGATGGTGGCTGTTCCCCAAATTGGGATAAATGGCTTGAAGATGTTCTTTAGGAATCGATACCTGGTCGTAGAATGCTCGGTGATTGTGCTCACGCTAATCTTCGATATCTATGAAGTCTCACAAAGCTTTGCAGAGCGCGTCCACATCCTTGTAGGCTTTGGAAGGGTCATGAGACTAGTGTTGTTCTCAGTGCTTATAACTGAGGTGGAGCAAGCATTGGTCGATAACTGAGGAAGAAATCGAAGATCTGATATTTCTGCTATTGAAGAACAAGAGAATTTAGATAATCTGTTAAAATCTCTCTACGAAAGATGTTGTTCTAGAGAAAAGTTGATAAAAGCTGGGCTGAAAAGGAGCGTTGATCTCTGAGAAAAGTACAAGAACAAACTCATTGCAAAAAGTTATCAGGATGATAGTTCTTCAGAGACAGATGAAGAAGATTCTGATTCAATAGAGGCACATGAAATCAAAATGAGAGAAATCAGCGAAACATTGCATATTCTAAATTCCAAAGAAGAGAAGTACTTCCAAGAAGGATTCGACTTCGCCACAATGGAATCTCAGTACACTCTCAAAATGGTTCTTGAGTCTGCTAAAGACTTAGAGTTCGACGTCTTCGAGCTCCAAACCAAATCTGTTGAGAACGAAATGTACATCTTTGGCATGCATATCATGACTAAAGATAAGTACATGGACGAGTTCAAGATCAGCACGAAGAGGATGCAGAACTATTTGTATGCGTTGCAGAGCAGCTACAACCAGATTGCTTACCACAACAAGACACACGCCACCGATCTTTCCCAAACTTGTTATTATTATATGCACACCTGCCACATGATTGATATCTGAAAGTTATCTAGAGTCGAACAGATGGCTATGCTTTTGGCTGGATTCATGCATGATACGGATCACCCTGGTTTTAATAATGCTTACATGGTAAACACCTCTTCTCCCCTTGCCATCAGATACAATGACAAGGCAGTCCTAGAGAACTATCATGCTGCGATGGGATTTAAGATTATGAAAGGAAATAGACAGTGCAATATTTTCGATAATTTGAGCAAAGATCAATTTCGCGATTTCAGGACCTTAATCGTCGATTTTGTTCTCTCAACAGATGTGGCCGGGCATTTTCCTAAAATGAATCAGATGGGTGTGAGAACCTCTGAAAGCGACTTTGACCCTTCAGGCAAAGATAAGAAGCTCTCGACCGAATTCTTATTTCATATGGCTGATGTTAGCAATCCCACTAAACCTTGGTCTATTTGTAAAAAGTGGGCAGACCTCCTCTTTTTTGAATTCTTTGACCAAGGAGATAAAGAAAGAGAACTTGGAATGGAGATATCCTTTCTAATGGATAGGACTACTACAAATGTTGCTAAGGCTCAAGATGGCTTCATTAAGAACATGATACGTCCTGCATTTTGAATTCTTGAGAAGGTCTTACCTGAGTTATCTCTGAATTTAAAATATATGGATGAAAATATTGACAAATGGGCTAAGAAAGTTGACCAATACTCGGTTGATCACCACTCACACATGCAGACTAAGGATATTAAAGCTCAAGAAGAAGAGGAAGAAGAAAAGGTACAAAAACCAAAAATTAGTGAGACTTCTATCTTACAAGTTGAGTCATCTCCTCGGTTCAATTATAAGATATCGTCGGCAAGAATGAGTCAAGTAAGTTATAAAAATTGACTATTTTGCATAGATTCATCACAAACCAGGACTGCTGGCACAAATCCAAGATGTGCAATAAAATGATTTAATAACCATGAATTCATAGTTACAAAAATAACCAATTTCAGCTTGATGATTTTATAGAGGGGTTTTGGGGTTTTGGGGTTTTGGGG